CATGGCATGTTAGAGCTCCAATGTAGCTCTAACATTCTCTAACCTGCCATGTTAGAGCCCCATGGGAGCTCTAACATGGCATGTTAGAACTCCATGGGGGCTCTTATCAGACAGGGGGGGGTACTACAGCTAGCCCAGATTTGGCTGGTCTGACCTGGCGCCCTTTGCCCTTGCCCTTGCGCGCGTCGTCGTTGCCCTTGCCCTTGGCGCCCTTGCCCTTGCCGCCATTGCCGACCATCTGCGCTGTTGCAGCTGGGGCGGGCTTGGAACAGCGCGCGCGCGGCGCGCGGGCAGAGTAGGGAGTCGAGCCGACAGCTACGGAGACGAGGGAGACAGAGAGAGGGAGAGAGAGATCCCCAAAGTTTTCGGATGAGATCACTGCAGAGGTTTCGATGGGGATGGGAAGGTTGAACTGTCTCAGCTGCGGCAAAAGGGGGGGGGTCATCGCTCTGGAGGTTTCGATGGAGATCGCTCGCATGCACGCGAACACGTAGGTGGACTGGGGGCTGGGCTGGACAAGTGCGGTGGAAGACGGCCTCGTCGCTACTCCTGCCTCGTCCTGCTCCCCCCTCCTCCTTCAGCCCCATCACCCCCCTCATCCCCCTCCTCCTGAGGGCGGCCCTGGGCGCCCGATGCTTCCCACCCCCACCCTCCCACCCTCGCCGCCGACAACCGCCGCCACGGGCAACCGCAGCCCCCCCCCCCCCCCCTCGGCGACCTTCAGGCCCCCAGCGGCGGGCAGCGCCGCCCGCGGCAGCGGCGCCCACTGAGGGGCGCAGGGGAGGTAAGGTCGGACGACGTTGGGCGGCGCTCTTTTTCAACAAAACTGGCACGATCGCAATCTATGGGACGGGCTACTTACTCACGCTGTCACAGCCTTGGTGCCCGGGCACAGTGCTTCAACCGTCGCGTCGAAACGCAGAACCCAGTTCCTCGGGCTGTTGTAGAGCTGTTTGACGGCTCTGTCGACACCCGCTTCTTCTCCCGAGCGGCACAGCACGCAAGTTCGCTGCACCAGGCGGGGATTGGCCTGCTTCTTGAAGAACTTGCAGAGCTTCCTGGGGCTCTTGTAATAGATCACACACCCACTCGGCGTCTGGGCAAGCGCTCGCAAAACGTGGGGCAGTGTAGGCAGGTCTTCCGCGAGAGCCTCTGTTACAGCCACGTGGTAGCTCTTGCTCGAGTTCCGAAGCTTCTCCGTGTACTGGATGCCTTTTGGAGAATCCTCCCGTGCAAAGTCAGTCGGCGCTTGTAAAAAAAAAAAAAAAAAAAAAAAAAAAAAAAAAAAAAAAAAAAAAAAAAAAAAAAAACTCCCGTGAACGCTGCTACAATCTGGGCGGCGATGCAATAGTCGGTGTCAGCTGTTGCCGCCAAGACTACGTTCCCCTTCTTCCCCTTGGCCGTATGACGGGCAAGATAGTCCAGGAAGTCCACCGGGTCCTGAAACACCTTGAAACGCAAGCGCTGCGCCTTGTTGCGAGCGCCCACATCTACCATGCGAGCCAGCATGAGCCCAGCGGGGCGCGGGGGGGCAGCAAGTAAGCGTCACGGCCCGCAGCTGGCCTGGCACTGCGCAGGACTTTCTTCTCTCGGGTGCCCCTGGCCTTGGCGGCGGCCTTCGCCCCTCCAAGATTGCGCTATCAGATATTTGCCTCCCGCTTGGCGACGGCGGCGACGACTTTTGCAGCGGGCCCGACTGGATCTGCGCCGCTCGCCTGGGCCGCCCCCTGAGCCAGCGCAGCGAGATCGGGGGCGCCCTCCGCGAGAAGGCGGGCGCGCTTGCTGGGGGAAGCGGCCACCATGGCGTCGACGGCAGCTGCTCGCCTGCGCCCGAAGCCTACCTCTGTCCGACGTGCTGCCCCAGGCTCCCGCGTGCTTCCCCTGTCGCGCCTCTCGGCCCTCCTCAGCGGCGCGATCTTCCCCTGCGCGACCTCATGTAGCTTGAGCACATGCCTGTACCAACGACTGGCGGCAGAGCTCTCGTTGTCGTCCAGCCACGCGCGCAGCAACCTGCTGGAGGGCGCCTGGTCCACGAGCGTGCACTCCTCGACGGACACGTCGAGGAGCCGCGCCCTCTCGGGGCAATGCACCTCCGAGAAACGGCGGAATCGCCTCTCCACGTTGCCCGTGCTCGGTTTCCATACAAGGAAGAGCTCCACGAGGCGACGGCCGCTGGGGAGCTCGGGCCACTCCACCGCAGCGCGGCCCCAAGCCTGCCGCGTGGTGCCCCCGTCTCGATGATGCACCTCGGCACGCAGCAACATTTGCCGCAGCTGGGAGATTGCCTCCTGCTCGGGGAGGTCTGCCGCCTGGCAGGTGCGCTTCAAACAGGCCTCGGCTTCTGTTGCATGCTCTGCTGCAGACAGGGACAGGGGGGAAGGCAAGCGAAAGGCTGTAAAGGCGTGCAACCAAGAATGCTCTGGCCGATGTAGCTTCCTGTTCTCCTTCACATTGGCCACGATCCCCTGCACTCGTCGAAGAGCCGCGTGGACGGCTTCGCGGGCTCGGAGCTCCGTTCCCCAATCGCCGATACCAACGGTCTGGACGCCAGTGCCGCACGCGAACCGCTTCGTGGCCTTCAGAAGCCTGAGGGTGACGCCAGTAAACGTGTCGGGGATGGCCAGAACATTCCCCTGGACGAACAATGTATCCAGCTTGGAGAGGAAAGCGGCGGCCCTGGATTGAACGCTGGCAGCGTCGGGGTTGCTCTTGTCTCCGGCGGTGGCCCAGGAGTAGTGCTCCGCGCGCAAGTCGGCCAGCAACCCCCCCAGGAGCAGACGCGAACTGTTCTCGCCCCCGAGCCCTTCCAGAATCTGTCGGGCGAGAATGCGCCGATCTTTGTCCTTCCCTGGGACTCCACTCCGAGCGCCTCGAAAATGACTTCCCAACCCCGGCTTCCCCGTGCTAACTAAGGGCCTCGCCCGACCGTTGAAACGCTGGGGGGCCCCGCCGAAGTTTTTGACGAACGCAACGCCGTCTTCCACCAGCTGTTGCTCCCCGAGCGCGTTGCGGAACACGGTGGAGGTAGTCAGGAACTCGGCCAGACATGGCGGCTTCTTACCCGTTACCAGCAGCTCGTCCGCGGTCGTTATTTCGCTGTCTCCTTTCATCGAATTGACCAGAACCTTCTGGGACGAGTGAGACTCGCCCCACGCGTGAAACGCCAGCCCAGGGAACGTAGCTGTTGCAGCCAGGGGTACACTTAGATCCGCCCCATCGCTGCACCATGCCCGAGTCTCCTGTCGCACATGCTTGTGCAAGTCCCCGTCCAGCTTCCCGCCTGCCGCCTGGCACGCGCGACGGACGCACTCCTCCAGCGTGGAGGCCTTGCCGTCGCAGTCCATGCCCCGCGGGAACTCCCGCAGCCCGATCACCCGATCCACGATCCAGGGCCCTCCGGGGCCCAGCTGTTCCAGCCAGCCTGCCTTGAGACCGTAGCTTGGGAGGAAGTCCAAAGCCTTCGGGATCGACCACAGCACGGTGCCAATTCCGACCTGGTACGCGCGGTCGAGGCCGTCCGCAGCCAAACGAAAAACAGCACCATGTTCGAGGATCCTCTGCGTGATGATCTTCTCGTGCTGAGCCATGGTGGTCACCAGCCTTCGGCGCTGCCGACTAGACTCCAAAACTTGGCGGTCGCCCCCAACGAACGCATCCCGCCACACGTCGAAACTACTGAAGGAACTGGACGTCTCCAACATTGCACTGGTGGCGACAACTGCGCGGCAACCAGGGCGCTGGTCGGCGGCGCGGACGACGGCGGGCGCAGGCGCCACGGCTGTTGCAGCTGCTGCAGCTGATGCAGCCGTTGTGGGGAACACAGACACGGGGAGACCCTGGTGCGCACTTTCCGCTCGAATCCGCTTTTTCCACGCCGCTTCTGCTGCCTGGTGCTCCTCGCACTGTGCATGGCGCACGAGGTTTTCCTTGCGTTGGAAACTCGCGGACCCCTGGCCCATGGCGGAATGGCAGCGAGCGCCCTTGAACGCCGAGCAGAACAAGCAGACTGCAAATCTACCACCTACGCAGCCTATCCAAGTTTCACTCTTCAGCGTTACTGGATTCGCCCCAGACATCGGGGCGCCCCACTTCTCCTTGTTCTTCCAAAATTTGCAAGCGCCGCAAGTGGAGACGTGATTTGGGTAGTCGTGGCTGGCGACGTGCTCCTCCAGGGTCATGGACAACGAAGGCGGGAACTTCTCGACTACTTTGCTCGGGGCGGCCTTCGCCTTCGCTCTTGCAGCCGCGGCTGCCTCGCTGCTGGAGCCGCTGTCCTCTTCGGAGCCGCTGTCGGAGCCGCTGTTGGAGCCGCTGTCCTCTTCGGAGCCCGCTGCGTCGGCAACTCCGCCGGCGCCGTCGGCGTCGGACCCTACGTCAGCATCGGCGCCCGAGCTGTTGCAGCTGCCACGGCTTGGCCGAGGCCGCGCGGCTCGACGGGGCCGCTCTCGACGAGGCCGCACGGCTCGAGGATGCCGCTCTCGAAAAAAACCGCCGCGGCCGCTGTCGAAGAAGCCGCCGAGGGCGCTCTCGAAGAAGCAGGGCTCGGGGAAACCAAAGGAGAGGACGAGGCCGCAGGGCTCGGGGAGGCCGCAGGGCTCGGGGAAACCGAAGGAGGGAACGACGACATTACCTTGAGCCAAGTCCTACGGACCACAATGGACGATGGTGATGGTGATGGCGATGCCGATGGTATGGATGGTGATGATGATGATGACGATGATGATGGGGATGGTGATGATGGTATGGTGAGGGCGGTTGTGATGGTGATGATGGCGATGGTGATGATGGTGATTCTGGATGCGACGAGCACCACCATCATCACCATCACCATCGTCACCACCATCAGCACTACGATTTGATAACCACCATCATTACAATCGTCGTCGGCATCAAAACACAAAAACACTCAACCGACGCAACCTAAATCCGCCCTAAATCAAGCCAGTTGTTCCGACGGAAGACGGCCGACCTCAACGCGGGGTCGATGACGTCCAGCGGGCCTGTCGCCCCACTTCGGCGGCTCGGCGGGGTCGCCCGAGTGGGCCTCCACGATCTGCGACACCCTGCGGCACAACACCTCGATGCTCGCCATGCTGGCCAAGTTGAGCTGGCCATAACTCCCAGCGTAGTTGATCGCCGAGAGCAAGCACTTCATCTCGACGCAGGCGCGGTCCGTCGAGCTGATGAGCCGATCCCGCGCCCCCATCTCCAGCCACAGCGGGGGGGTGCCGCCGCTCTGCCCCCACCTCTTGATCACGCGCTCCCAGTGGAAAGGCCGTCCTCCAGGGGCCAGTCGCGGAAGGTGCACCGCTTCACTTCGCGGACGACCTCGCGCCCAGGCTTGCGGCGCCCCCCGCGCTCGTCATGCTGCACCCACAACGTCCCCACGTCATCGGCGACCTCAGCGTCGGGCGCCCCCTTGGGCGCCGGCACCCCAAGCCTGTCCCTCAGGCCCCTGTCGCCTGCCTCCAGGTCGGGAGCCCCGACGGCAGTGGGCACCACGGCAGACTCGGGGCCCCCCTCCAGCGCCACGCGGCGGCCGCCGCTCAGATCCTCCATCAGGTTCATGAGCACCCTGGGTCGCCGCCGACGGTAACCGTCGACCTCCTCCACGGGGATCGCCCCCGCGACTTGCCAGCTCTCGCCATCGCGGAAAGCAGCGCGGTAGGCGTCGAGCCGCACGCTGCCTTCGGCAAGGGCCACCTCGCGCCCCACGGGCAGCGCCCCAGGGGAGGCCACGACCCAGGCGCGGCCTTCAGGCCGGCAGGGCACCCCCGGCGTCCGCAGCGGCCGCCTCCACCAACGGCCCAGCGTCGGCACCAGGCGGCGTCGCCATCTCGCCAGCCCCCTCGCTCGCGACTCGAAGGGGGAGGCGGCGGCGGAGCTCCGAGAAGGCCGTCAGTTCGCCCTCCCAGGTGCAATGCTGCTCGGGGTCCTCCACCGCGCCGTGCTCGGTCTGAGCGGTACGCGCTCGAAGGACGAGGGAGGGGAACTGGGCCGTGCGCGCGGGCTCCGAGAACCTGTAGAAGCTCCCATGCGCGACGGCTGGCGCGACACCGCTGGGGCTGCACGCGAAGGCCCTGCTGCAGCCATCTCCCACCGCCGCCGCGACATCCTCGACGTAGGAGTCCATGTCTGGTGTGAGCACCCACCAGTACGTGCCTCCCGCGGGATACAGAAGCAGCCTCTCATGCCACACTGTATCCCGCGGATACCAAAGCCCCACTCGGAGACCAGGTCGGAGTTCACCGCACCACTCCTCCACCGCGGCGCTCGATCCATCGGGCCAGATCACGCCCGTTCCGCGGCGCCTCCGCCGAGCTACCGCAAGCATGGCGCCGGCAGCGAGCCGCGATGCAGCAGCTGATCAGCACGAGGAGTTCCGTCCCTGCCACCAGCCACGCGAACACCAGCGCGGACGCGCGCTCAGGCTCCAAGGCCAGGCCGGCCACGGGCGGCTCCGCCGCGACAGTTGGACCCTCGGCCCCCGCAGCCAGCGGTAGCTTCTCCAGTAGCACCGCAGCTACCGCCTCCGCCGAGGGGCAGGTCGGCGGCGCCCGAGGGGAGCTGTTGGCCAGCAGCGGCCCCAGCTCCGCGGCCAGCGCCGCCGCGACGCTCGCCGCAGGCCGGGCGGGCGGCGGCCGCGGGGGCGGCGGCGAGGGCGGCCACGCGGGTGCCTGGCAGACGCAGGCAGGGCAGGTGGTGGAGGCCGCCACCACCGCCGCCAGCCAGCCGCCCGCCAGCCGCAACCCCGCCCAGGCCGCGGGCGCGCCCACCACGGCGCCCACTGCCAGGGTCGTGGTGGCGCCCGGGGCCATGGCCCGGCCCACGCTCATGCATTTGAGCACAGTCACAAGGCCATCGAGCACCCCAGACAGCACCGTGCAAGCACTCCAATGTTATATATATAATATATATACACACAAACATGTATATAAATACATACATACATACATGCAAGGCTGCATTGGCGCTGCGCGCCATGCACCTTGGTCCTTGGAGTTCCGCACGTACATGCGCGCATGCATGTATACACGCGCACGCGCATGCACATTCCGTATATATATAAATATGTGAATATATGTGTATACATATGTGTGTCCAGGAGTTGTATGTGTTTGCAGCGTACATATGTACATCTACATTTATGTGTAAAAAATATGAATATACATATGCAATTCGTACGTGCTTTGCCGGTGCACGCCCATATGTGTACATATATATATATATATATATATATATATGTATGCATATGTATGGAACTATGGGTTCGCATACACATGCGTATCTCAGGCGGTAGTGGCCTGACAAATTGCTCAGGGCATCTCGCAACTGAAAGGTGAGAGGGTCTCAGGCGAAGATGGCCTGATGACCATGGGACAATGCATCGCCGAGGTCAGTGTGCGAGGATGTCTCAAGCGAAAATGGCCTGAACACTTCCGCTCAGGACATACTGGAACTCAGAGTTGCGAGGATGTCTCAAGCGAAAACGGCCTGAATGAACACCTCAGCTCAGGACAGACCGGAACTCAGTGACGCGAGGATGTCAAGCGAAAGTGGCGGAATACCATGGGGCAGGGCATCTCGGAACCCAGAGCTGCGAAAACGTTTCTAGCGAAAGTGGCCCGAACACCTCAGCTCAAGGAGGCCTGGAACGTAGAGTTGCGAGAAAGTCTCAAAGCGGAAGTGGCTGGACCACCTTGGGGCAGGGCTTCTCCGATGTCAGAGTTCGGAGGAGGTCTCAGGCCACACTGGTCTGATTTCCTCAGCTCAGGGCACCTCGGAACCGAAAGTTGCGAGGATGGCTCTGGCGAAAGTGACCGGAACACCGCAGCTTTGGACATCCCTGGACGTAGAATTGCGAGGGTGTCGCATGCGGAAGTGGCCAGACCACCTTGGGGTAGAGCACCTCCGAGGTCAGAGTTGCGAGGATATCTTAGGCGCAACAGGCCCGAGCACTATGGGGCGGGGCATCACCGAAGTCAGCCTTGCGAGGAAATCTCAAGCGAAGAGTGGTCTGAACACCTCAGCCCAGGGCATCCCGAAATCCAGAGTTGCGAGAAGTCGCAGGCGAAAGTAGGCTAACCACCATGGTGCAGGGCACCTCCGAAGTCAGACTTGCGAGACTGTCTCTGGCGAAATTGGCCTGAACACCTCAGGCCAGGGCGTCTCGGACTCCAGAGTTGCGAGGATGTCTCAGGCGAAAATGGCGGGACCACTGCGAGGCAAAGCGTTTCCGAGGTGGGAGTTGTGAGCATACCCGGGCGGAGCGGATCTCACGACTCCCTCTTCCTCCTCCCCCTCCTCGTTTTCTGTCTGGGTGATACTCGCCACTCGTCCTCCGCTTTCCCCTTGCGTATAATTCCCTCTTCCTGTTTCTTCATTTTCTGATTCGCGTTCTCCTGGTCCACATCCTCGTCCTCCTCTGATCCTCATCCTCCTCCTGAGTTGCCGGCCGGGCCGGGCCGAGCAAAGCCGGCGGGCTGGCCGAAGCGGGGACGACGACGATAACGACGACGATTACGAGAACGAACGACGACGACGACGAGAAAGACGACGACGACGACGACGACGACGTGTGGACGGCTGGCGCCCTCCCGGGGCGCCCCTCCCGGCCACGAGGACGACGACGACGACGACGACGACGACGACGACGACGACGACGACGACGACGACGACGGCAGCGACGGCGACGACGACGACGAATTGGTGTTTTCGGGGCCCTCGTGGGCCGTTTTGGCGCCTTTATCTCTCGTCCTGGGGCCTTCTTGGGCCGTCTTGGGGGGCTTGGGCCCGCTGGAGCCCCCTTTGGACCCATGTTGGGCACTTCCGGGGACCTCCTATAGTCCTTGTGGGTCTGTGCTGGGAGACCTTGGGGGGCCTCTTGGGTCCATTATGGGCTGTCTTGGGGCTCTCTTGGGCGATCGTGGGGCCCGGCGTCTTGAAGCTTTCTTGGGGGCCTTTTGGGGCGTCTTGAGGCGATCTCGGGGGCTGTCTTGCAAGCTGATGAAATCCGAAAGGCGAATAAGCTAAAATTGTAAATTTTACGAAGGAAATGAGACGATTTTTGTGTTTTGAAGGCCCCTTGGGAAGCTTTTTGGGGTGCCTTGGGGGTCTTTCGGGCAGTCCGGAAGCTATTGGAGTCCCTCTTGGAGCGCTCTTGTGCTGTCTGGGGCCTCCCTTGAGCCTTTCTGATGACCCCTCTGATCGCTCTGGGTCTGCTGGCAAGGCGTTTGTGGAGACCCAGAAAGCCGGGTGACCTTTTCCAAGGACGTCCAAGGGAGCCCGAGAATCCCGGATCCCAGGGATCCAGTTTTTGGGGGGGGGATGGTTTTTCCCCCCCCCGGGCTTGCAAAAAAATAGGAAGAACATATATATATATACACATATATTCATATATATATATATATACATACATGCATACATACATACATACATACATACATACATAGATAGATAGATACATACATACATACATACATACATACATGCATGCATGCATGCGTGCATGCATACATACATACATACATACATGCATACATACATACATACACACATACATATACATATACATATACATATACATATACATATACCTATACCTATACATATACATATACATATACATATACATATACATATACATATACATATATACATACATACATACATACATACATACATACATACATACATACATACATACATACATACATACATACATACATACATACATATATACATATACATGTATATATACATATACATATACATACACATATATATATACATATACATACACATACACATACACATACACATATACATATACATATACATATACATATACATACATACATACATACATATATGCATGCATACATGCATACATACATACATACATACATACATATAGCTATATATATATATATACATATACGTATGCATATACATATACATATACATATTCATATACCTATGTATATATATATATATGAGAGAGCGTGATCCACCGCCGCTTTACTGTGGAAAATTGCCAACCTTTTCCTCCGGAACCCGGGGGTCCCTCCCCCCCCCCCTCCGAAAATCCCCCCCCCCCTGCTGGAACCCCTCCCCCCCCCCCCCTCCCCCCGGCAAAACCCCCCCCTCCCCTAACCCCCCCCCCCCCCCCCTCCCCCCGCTCGAAAACCGGGGGGGGTCACTACCGGTTCAAAACCTCCCCCCCCCCCCCTCCGGATCCGAAAACCGGGGGGGTCACTACCGGTTCGAACCCCCCCCCCCCCCCCCCCCCCCCCCCCCCCCCTACTCACCGCCAGCAAACGACTCCCGGTCCCCACCACCGTCCGCATCACATCCCCCACTGGTGTTCCCAGCACCACTGTCCTCACCACCGCTGTCCCCACTGGTTCCACCACCGCCCCTACTGTCCCCACCAGTGGCCCCACCACTGTCGCACTGTCCCCGCTGTCCCCAGAACTGTTCCCACCACGGTTCCACTCTCCCCACTGTCTCCACGGCCCCAACCACTGCCCGACTATCCCCACTGTCCCCACTGTCCCACTGACTCCTCCGCTGTCCCACTGAGCTGTCCCACTGTTCCCACCACTGTCCCCACTGTCCCCACCACTGTCCCCACTGTACCTCTGTCCCATTGTCCCACCGCCGTCCTCGCCACCGCCTTCACCACTGTCCCCACCACCATTGTACCCTCCACTGTCCCACTGTTTCCACCTCATTCCCATTGTCCCCACACCACTGTCCCCACCACCACCGTCACCACCACTGTCCACTGTCCCCCCCTGTTCCCACCATTGTCCCCACCACTGTCCCCACCACTACCGTCCCCACCACTGTCCCACTGTCCCACTGTCCCCACCACTGTCCCGCTATCCCCTCACCACTGTCCCCACCAACACCGTCCCCACCACTGTCCGCACCCCCACTCGGTTTTCGAGGGGGGGGGGGTTCGAACCGGTAGTGACCCCCCCCGGGGGGGGGGGGGGGGGAGGGGTTCGAACCGGTAGTGACCCCCCCCGGTTTTCCGCCAGCAGCGGTAGAACACGCTCTTTCATATATATGCGCCACCGTGCCGCTGGGCACGGAGTGGGCGTGTCCTCGGGTCCTTCCACTACCCCTCTTTGCCTTGGTCGTCACTCCTGAGGAGTTCGTAAGGGGTTCGGAGCCTCGCGGGCCACATCTTCTGGGGCGGCCCGCGTCGGCCCGCGGTTCCCCCGCGTCTCGTCGCATAACTGCTTCGGACCCAAGAAGGCCCCAAGCCGGCCCCGAGGAGCCCCAAGACGGCCCAAGAGGCCTCCAAGACGCCCAAGATGGCCTCCAAGACGGCCCTGGAGCACCCCAAGAGGGCCCCAAGTCGGCCCAGAGAGGCCCCCAAGACGGCGTCGGACGGGCCAGGAGCCCATGAAGACGGCCCAAGATGGTTCCAAGATGGCCCAAGACAGCCCCAGAAGCCCCGAAGAGGTCTCCAAGACGGTCCCAGAGGCCTCCAAGAGGACCTCCAGGAAGGCCCGAAGAGGCCAAAGTCATTGATGTGCCTTCGGTTTTTGAAGGATTTGGGCATTTGCTTCTTCTCGGCCTTCCGACGGCCCGAGACTGCCCGAGACGGCCAAAGAGCCCCCAAAAATCACCCTAAGATCGCCCAAGAGGCTCCAGAACGGCCCAAGAAACCCCCAAGCCGGCCCCAAGAGGGTCCAAAGACGGCCCAAGAGGCATCCAAGACGCCCAAGATGGCCTCCAAGACGGCCCTGGAGCACCCCAAGAGGGCCCCAA